CTATCATCTCTTCTACTATATTAGGCAGAGCTTTAATTTTATTTTTAATTGTTAAAAATGAGCATGTTTTTCTTTTCTTGTTAAAACTGAATAGGTTCTGTAACGGTCCATCCCCACACCCCTTTTGATTTTTGTTTATTATCTGAAATCTTATTATTTTCCTCTTATATTTGTTTTGCTATAAATTCTATTCTTACTGTATTTGGCCTTTTTCCTTTAGTAGTAGTACTGATCGTCTAGACTCACCTGGGTCCCGCTCAAACGCGGACCACGTGCTATCACGGTATATTTGATTTAGCTTGATGACCAACGGAATTAACGAACAGCGTCAACTCGAAAGTTGGTTAACTTACTGTGTTGATGTTTATATTTTTATTCTATGCTAGATATACACAGGATTATACCCTCTTAGGTAATTATTTCGACGAGCATAAAGGTTATGACCAATGGAGGTAACGAACAGCGTCATTTCGCTATTTGGTTACCTTACTGTGTTGATTTTCACATATACGTTATGTTTCAAACCTAGTAGAATGGGTGGCTTAGTATAGGTGCCCACCCTGAGCTAATAAACAGTGTCAATTCAACAGTTGATTAACTTACCTATAAATTTTACCATCTCGGTTTGTATAATTTATCCAATACAATTCTGTATATTTCTAAAATGTTAATTTTTTTAATTTCTCTTGAAATACTCAAATTCACTCGTAACTGTATTTTGGGATGAATTTTTAAAGCAAACCCTTGTTTAAACGAAACCCCTGTGGTATATCAAAGAAAGTTACATAAATCTTTTTGACTCACCATGAAAAATACAGACATTAAGTTCGTCTAAACTATATATTATCTACTTATTTTATCTAGAGTTGTGACGGCGTCGATTTGAGTACGTCGCAGCGTTGAGCGTCGCCTTGCGTCGAAACGGTTAGCGTCGTGGCGGAAAGAAAGGTATTTATTACGGTACTGTGTCGGGACAGATAAACGTTAGAAAATACTTGGTGTACTGCGCGACGAAGGGTGTCGTCGAGGATATTATGAAGTAAATAGTATTTCGGAAAATGACCAATTTCTTTCGGCCGCAAAGTCAGCATAACTATTACGATTTTGCTGCACTTTTCACTTTATCTAAATAATTTTCCTCTTTGTTCTTCTCATTAATTTTTCAAAATATTTTCGGAAAGTATAGTGAATTGTTTTAAAAAGTCGTTTTATAAAATGTCTAGACATTTTACAAAAGGCGGCCAGATTGTCAAATTCTCGTTTAACATTTATTATTTTCTGATCTGGCTAGTCGGATTGTAAAATGCCTAGGTGCTTTATAACATTACGGTCAACATGCGGCCAGATTATCAAATGTTTAAAATTATATTCTAGCATTCTGGCGAGTGAAAAGTTTTAGTCGTTTCATAAAATACGAATTTTACATTAAAGTTAGGGTCATCAACAATTTTATTTATGGATATAATGGAATTAAAACATTTTATAACGAATATTTTACATATTTTTCTAGTAAACAGAACAAATTAAACTGAAGAACAAATTAAACTGTAGAACAAATTAAACTGTAGAACAAATAAAACTGTAGAACAAATGAACATGTGATAAAATAACACTTGCTGAGCTTAAAAGATCCGACCTTATGATTTTTGTATTGTTTTTAAATCAAAATACAATTTTCAAAATATAGCTTCTTAATATTACTTAAAGGCATATGTCTGTTATTTATGTTTATAGAAGAAAATGCTTTCAACCAGATTTGTTTGTGATGTCATTCTCTATAATTTTGTTAAAATACGTGATTTTTTCTAATACATGGATCGTAATGGAAAAATTTGAGGAAAAACACTAACTTTGATTTTTTTGGTATTTTTGTTGCTATAGAATAATGTTTTGAATCATTTTTATCTGTAATTCATTTTTGGATTTAATGGGTCTCACTCAATATTTACTTTACAGAAATATTTGCAATTTTCCTCAAATTTCTCAATTATATTCCATTTTAGAGAAATTATCTATATGACCAAAATTATACAGAATAGCATCACAAACAACTTTTATTGAAATAATTTTCTTCTATAAACAAATCTGAAAGTAGAAAAAAAAAGTACTATTAAAAGTACTTACGGCCATATTTTGATGGGCAACCCAGCAAACCCGTATTTCTCTATTAATAATATCTATAAAAGACTATAAAGCAAATTTTATTTATTATAACATGGATCATTGAAATGACACCTAATATAGCATTTTTCCCATGCCTTAAAACCAAGATATTTTTTGTCAGTATAGCATTAAACTTTACTATACTCTGTTTTTAAACTATTAGAAGCGAATTGAAAAGACGCATTTACACAGGGAAAAGTAACTAGATTTGTTACTAAGAGCGAGTTTCGAAATATAGTCGTGTTCAAAATTTATGAAATAATTATCTTTATCGGCCTTAGGGGTCTATTCTGTAACAATTCCTTTATATTTAACGGCCTTTAAAAATATTTTCTTCTTTACTTCTGTCATTTTTTAAACGGATCTTTAAAATACATTAGAGGACTATCTTAAAGAAATCTGTTTAAATAATGACAGAAGTAAATTAACGAATACAAACATATTTTTAAAGGTCGCCAATATTTTTAAAGGCCGTTAAATATAAAGGAATTGTTACAGAATAGACCCCTAAGTCGGTGAACGGCCAATGAGCGGTTAAGAAACGAATAAATGTCATAGAAGTAATTCTTTAATTGGTCCCACACAACGGTCGCAAATTTCACATTATTGTGATCTGAAATGTGTGTCTAAAACGAAATGTCACTGTCAAATTAAAGTCAATATGGTTGTTGATTGATGTCAGAAATACTTTTTTCTTGCTTTTGAAATCGACTTTTTGAGAATAACTATGATCTTTTTAAAATGGATATTAAATATTTAAGAAAATTGTTAATGGAATATCCAGATGTAGCCAGGTTAGTATAAAATATAAAGATCTGTTTACATTTTTAAGGATATATTTATTATAGGTATAAAAAGTAAAAGTTAATCAGTGAATGAAAAGTGGATCACACAGTAACTGGTATCTCTTCTATGAGTAATGTGGATATTATGGCTTATTTAGTGTTAATGCGCTAGAGGGCAAATAAGGGCATTCAAAAGTTTACAGGCCTATGAGTCAAAATTTGTTTTGAAAACTGGAACCAACATTTTCATAACACTACATGTCAACATATATTTTTTAAAGTGAACTATTCATACATACCTATGTATTAATTTTAAGTATTTTTAAAATATTTTTTGTGAAAATAATGTTAACTCATTGTGCCAAATTAAGATTATCCCTAAAGTAATAGATGGTGTTTTAAATGTTATAACAATTTTGTAAATAGTTTTATTCTATTCTAATAAATAAAATTTGCTTGATTATTTAGTTACATTTTAATCATTTTGGTTAGAAATTCATCAATTTTTAGTTTTAAAAAATCAGTAATAAAATTATTTTTTTCTAAAATACTTCGAATTCATTTCTTCATGGCAATCTCCCATCTTTTTACCTTTAAAAACCAATAATGCATTTTCTACAAAACCTTCAGAATCAGCATGTAAAATAATAAGGTGTCTTCCCTTTCTTGTAAGGCTTTTCAGGACTTGCTACCTTTAATAGTACTCAGTGTAGAAGGATCCATAATTGTAGATTTTCAATACAATTGCTTACTGAAGAACTATTATTTACGAAATAAAGTAAAAAACTAAGTAATGGATGAGATATCAAATTATAAAATGTCAGAACTGTCAACAATATCATTTATTAGCTGATGTTCATGATAAAAAGTAATGTGTGAAACTGACTGTAATCTGACCAATCAGAAGACTACAGAATTGCCAACTTAAATTCAAATCGCTCCTCTTAGTTTAAAAACATAGTATAGGTTTTCACAGGCTTTTTTTAACCCTTGTCTCCCAAATTAAAAACCCTTAGAAATAGCTTCAATTTTGAAAACCGTCGATTTAAAGCACATTTCCAATATACTCCATTCCGTACATCAAGAATAGTTTTTAACACAGCTTTAGGGTCAGGCGGACCCCTGGAAAATTTTGGAAATATAGAAACATGCTCTCCCACCTGCAAATATTTCCTTTTTTATGATTTGGATTTGATCTATTTTGCAATGTGTTTTTATTACTTTTTCTTTATACTCGTAGCTAAGATTACACTTCCCTTTAATTTTATTATTTACTGCAAAATTAAACATTGTACATGTAGTTTGTTCTTTATCATTTGATTTTGTTTTATTTTCTGCATTTCCATCTAGGTATACAGTTGTTATCAGCCAAAATTAAATTGTTCATGTCGAAAATTGGCAATCTTTTACAAAACGACCGAAACTCCTTACCCGCCGGAATGTCAACCAGAGGATAATCTTAATTATTTGACAATCTGGCCGTGTGTTGATCGTCTGTTTATAAAAAGCCTAGGCATTTTATAATCCGGCTAGCCAGGTAGTAAAATAATGAAAGGTAAACGGAAATTTGACAGTTTGGCAGCTATGTATAAAACTCCTAGGCAATTTATAAAACGACGGGTTTTGTAATCTGGCTACGACATATACAAATCTTTAAACTTTCCATGTTGTTTTTATTATAAATACAAATATAGCTGAACAAAAAAATGTCCTCTAAATTTCAAAAATATGATCCATTTATCTCTGATTATTTTTAAAAAGCTTCACCTTTTATGGTCTAAAGAAATCAAAAATCGCTTTATTGCGATGGATTCCATTTTCTTTATTTCCTCAACCCGTTTTAATTTTTTTCCATTCTAGATAGACTTTTCCGATAAAACCTTTTTTATACTTGTCCAGAAACAAATTTTTAAATTCAGGAATTTTCAAGGTGTCAAATTTGTAGAATAGCGTGGATTCAAACATGATTTTTAAAATTTTTTTTTATCAACAACATGGAAAGTTGTTAACGTTTTGAATCATAGGTCTGTGATGTAAAAATTAATATTTCAGCTGCAGACAAACATGCGGATGGTAAGAAAATTGATGGAAAACGGGTTGGAGTTGACGTGGAAAGGGCCAGAACAGTCAAAGAATGGTTGCCCAGGAGGTTAGGTAAGTGGAAGGATGTAATTATAGTATACCAAGTAGTATTTTTAAATAAAAAAACAGCAACCTGATATCCGAATTGGTGTGTAGAACACGAATATGTGGGTTCGAATATTTGTGGGACAATTTTTTTCGTTTTCAATTTGTTTGGGGATTTCCAAAGAATAGCAGACAGATATTTATTGATGTAAAATAAAAATAAATATTTGACATGTGTCAATCTTAAAAATATAAAAAAGATATTGTTACACTACACCCTGCAATGGCCTGCGGCCGTTATAGGAAACGTACACATACGAAAAGAAGTGCAATGTCACCCATCATACTATAGTGTGCTGCGATCATCATAAGTAAAAATACGAGTAAAAGAAGAGTCCAGAAATGTCATTATTTGTCAATAAAATTCTAGGCGTTTCAAGAAGGTTCGCGAAGGGTCAAGCAAGCTATATAAGCCGATGATTCTGACGTCAGTTTTCAGTTTTATGATAGAGGTTATACGTTAATGTTATCAGTTGGATAGTTATTGTAAAGTTGAATTTAAATAAATTGTGATACCAAACACCTGTGTAACATTGGTGACAGCGGTGGGATACAAAGTAGAAGTTCATGGTAAATACTAGATCCACTGAGTACGAAGCAGGCATGGATACTTCAGGCCCACCAGCATGGTTTTTGAAGATGGAAGAGGAGAGATTAAGGCGAGAAGAGGAAAAGGAAATGCGTAAGAAGGAAGAAGAAGAGGAAAAGGAAAGGCGTAGAAAGGAAGAAAAGGAGGAAAAAGAAAGGCGAGAAGAGGAAAAGGAAAGACGAACGAAGGAAGAAGAGGAGGAAAAAGAAAGGCGTAGGAAGGAAGAGGAAAAAGAGAAGGAGAAAAGGCGTAGGCAGAGGTAGAAATTATAAATGGTTTGATACTGCTACGGGGTGTGCTATTAACCCCGTCAGCGTAGCCACTAACTACCAGAAAGGGTTGGAGGAGAACACAGAAAAATAAGAACACTTACAAAAAAACCAATTATATTTTCCATTATCAAAAATATAGATATAATAAAATAAGAACAATCTACTCACATTCTTTTGAGTGCACCCTTTGTTCACTGATTAGACACAACCTAATTTTTTATCTAATTTAACTTAACCCCTAGGCCGACGCCCCAAGCCAGCATGACCCCGTATCCATTCCTTTCTCGCATTCCGCACGGTGTTTTTAATATTGACTAATTGTTTAGATAATAATAAACTGCTGATAATTAAAATATTTTGTTAGATGGATTTTATAATATACTGGGCGTCATTTAATTTATTTATTTAGATATTTATTAATTATTTTATAACGTAATAATACAAATTCAGGAAAATTTCAAGCAAGAGGTAGGTCAGCTTAACAGTCGAGTAGATATCTTGACCCAACAACAAGAGAACTTAAAAACTAATTTGGAAACTTTACAAACTAATTTAGAAGAGCAACAAGAGAATCTAAAAGCTAACTTAGAGCAACAACAAGAAAAGGCTAGAGCAGACTTGGAAAGGCAAATTAGAACTGAAATAGTTGAGTTAGAAAGAATAATTCGTAGCCAAGCTCCAGTAAGCAACGTTGACGCTAAAAACACTATCTCGTCTTCAATCAACTACACCTTTTAATTTAAGAAAATAATTTAAAAATGATTTTTGATCAATAGGCAGCTGAAACAAATGTTCCAATATTAATAATTATTAAAATAGCGCGTTATTAATAAAAAATAATATAACTTATCATAGTACGCCCGTGGGAAATGCGACGTAGAATGCTTGAAATTGACAGACTGGCGTCCAAATTGTCAAGCGCACCCCATTTTTTTCACCCATGTCGGCTTAGAAATTAGGAGTAGGGTTTATTCAGGTTTATGTCATATTAGCTTTGTCCCAACCTCTCGCAAAACCGTAATATTACGGTCATCGTCATGCGCAGTAAATAAAAACCGTTCGACTTTGGGCTTTATTGATATGTTTTTATTTACTGCGCATGACGATGACCGTAATATTACGGTTTTGTGAGATGTTGGGACAAAGCTATAGTCATCCAGTTTAATATCAAGGTCGGTGATATTGAGTAGCTTGGGTGCTAAAATTTAAAGAATACAAAATGGTTTTTACAAGATTACGATACTCTTATGTAGATCTTCCTTTACACATTTCTCCAACTATACACATTATTTATTACCCTGTCCTACCTTTTTTAAACCCTTAGAAGTTTCAGCGATATTACTTGGGAAAAACCGCTTTTTGAGAGATTTGAAAATGTATTTGTAATTGGTAGGTAGATACTAACTACCCGATAAGGGATTTTGGATCATTATCCTTTCTAATATACTTTTATTAATCTTTATGGGGGTTAATGTGACTATTTTAGTGGATTACGGCCAATACGAGAAAACCAGAACTGTTCAACGACAAGAATGAAGATTAAAAATAAATACAGAATTAGGCAATGCAATATCATGTCAGAACGGATAAAAATGGCCGATGCTTGGCGAAAACAACAAAGTTTGTTAACCTGACTTTTTCATTAATATTTGATTGTTATTGTAAATCATACAATTTTAGTATTCATATATTCTTAATAAATATTAAATTATACTATTTTTCAAGTAAATATGTACACCGATAAAAACTCTAAACACTCCAAAAAAATAACACAAACTGAGCAGGTCCCCCGCAAGGGTTATCACCGCCCGCGTGCCGGAAATATTTTGGCGCCCTTTGAATATATTTAGTACTTATATAAATATTATTTTGAAGAATAACAACTTTATGCTGTTACATATGTTTTTTAAATTTCCTGGTTTGCTGTAATATTCTTGTAGTCGGTTAACATTTGAGCGAATTGCGAAACCACATTTTATTTTAATTTTGTAATGAAACAACAGATATTTTAAAAACCAATATTTTATTCACAAACCAAACCGTAAACAAATAAAACATTCAATTATCCAAAAATTAAATAGGTTTTTTTCTGGATTTGGCTGCTGCAAATTCTTTCATAATATTGTCAAAATCAATTTTATTGAGGATCTCTTGCTTGAAATGAATCAGTCAGTTGCCAGCTTGATTTGTTTTATAGTTCAATTCATAATATTAGGTGTTATTTCTATAATAATGTTCTCTAAATCTTTAGTTTTGCATATATTCATGAAATGCAAGAAAAATAATTATCTTAGTTTTTTTTTTACCTGCTGTTCAATCAATTAATATAGTATTTCTAAATTAATTGTATTTATATATTCTTGTACGCTTACTCTGTAATTGGTTCTTGACCTGTTGAGTATATAAATAAATAAAATAAATAAATATCCATAACATACCCATAATATACCCATAACATACAAATAACATACCCATAAAATACATAATATACCTATAATATACCCATAAACAACCGATAATATACCCATAACATACCCATAACACACCCATAACCAGCTTCAAACTCATGATATTCATTAATTTAAATTATTTCTATTATAGGAGACTCAAAACGACCGAAACGTACACCAAACGGCTTCCCTGATGAAGACGAAGACACCATAATAGAACCGAGATTCGGCGGTAGAGGTTTCCAAAAGGGAGACCATCCCCATGGATTTCTTGGTAAGTTGTTTTATTCCATTTTGCACCCCGGATACATGCATGCACAGGAAAATAGTGAGACATATTTCCACTCAGGTCATGGACATCCAGGACGTGGACATTGGGGCTATAGACATGGGCCACCAAAAGAATATAACCATCCAATTTTCGGCTTCGGTGAGTTACTGAAGGTGGAGGAACATCGAACATTAACTGTTCATTGTCTTATTAATCTACTTCTTTGTTTGTTTTGCATGCGTAACTTTTTTGTTTCGTGATTCGTTTGATTTTGATAAGGTGAATATGTGGCCTTATAGTAAGAAACTAAGAGATTTTCTTCTTTAAGTTTTTCCTTTTGAGGTTCCGGATCTTCTGTTACTAATGATTCTCCTCATCTCACTAATTTTCTCTGTTGACATATTATATCATCGTTACTCTCCTGATCTTTCTCAAAAAATTCCACTTAAAACGAAGATACAGGGTTTTTATAAGGAATGGTAAATATTTTAGCCATGGGTTAAGAACCTCAAAATATTAATATTTTACTAAATAATCAATAATCAATATTTACTAATATCGACATCATTTTTAACAGAGAGTGTAGTTCTTAGCATCGAATAAATGGACCATAACGTCGACGGTTTAAAATTTGAACATATTTCTCCAAAGTATGCTAGTAGTACAGTTTCCGAAAATGATTTCACTTTATTTTTTCTCTCCAGTCCAAAAATTTGATATAAATTTCTTCATATCTCTTTTTTGATTTGGCCGGTAATAAATCTGAAGAGGTTTCTTCAGCTTTAAAAATAATTTCTGGGGGAGTACAATCGCTTTCTGACTCAGACATCATGAAAATGTGTTACATTTAGGACGAACTGAAACTGACAGTTCTCAAAAGTGATAAAACTTCAAATAAACAAATGAAAACCAGGAAACTAGATGTAGATTGGTTTAATTTGCACTATTTTTATACATTTTTATTTTATCTTTAATTCATTAAAGTTTAGGTAAAAACGCATATAGAATTTAATGAGCATCTTTTTATTTCATTATTAATAATTATAAGCTGCCAAAATATTATACGAGGCGACTGATATATGAAAATATGTAACAACTTACTTTCGTCACTAGAGACGAAAGTAAACGTTATGGGATTTTTTCTCACTAATGACGGAAATTAAGTTTTCGCTGAAAGTATCCTGTGGCGAAAGATGTCTTTTTGTAAATAATTTTCAACACTCCAACTTTTATTTTGCTTCTTTCTAAGGAGAAAGTTATTCTTGGACCGGTTTCGTTCTCATTAGCACTCTTCAGCAAGAAATAGACAATTTTGACTCCAGTCTCTAATGGAGTCTGATGGAAATACAAAATTCACTCGTCCACATTAGCAGCGGTTGGGAGTGTTTAGATATTTAATATTATGACTATCTACAACCGCTGTTAATTTTTTATTGTCATCAGATTCCATTAGAGCAGGCCTGCACAACATACGGCCCGCATGCGGCCCGCCATTGTCGCTTTTGTGGCCCTTTGTCCGTTGATCATTTTGGCCCGCCTACGTCGAACTATACATTTTTTTGGAATCACTCTCGATGACAAGCTTAGCTTCTGTAGCCATATAGAAAAAACAACAGAAAAAGCTGTAAGAATACTATGGGCCTGTAGACGGATGGTAGGGAACGCATGGGGGCTTAAACCAAGTATGATGCACTGGCTTTACACTATGGTTGTAGTACCGGTCATAACCTACTCATCAGTCATATGGTGGCACAAGACTAAAAGCATAGCAGCTAACAGAAAATTAGACAAGGTACAAAGACTAGCCTGCCTAATAATAACAGGGGCATTTAGAACTACGCCCACAGCAGCAATGGAGCTACTGCTAGGTCTTCCTCCACTACACCTTGTGGTAGAGAAGGAGGCTATGGCGGCGGCATACAGGCTGTTTACTAATGGATTTGGATGGGAACTTTCGAGAAAAGGACACCACACAATGATATTAGAGAAATTAAAACAAAATCCGGTACTAAGAATGCCATCGGATAGAACGCCCATTACTCACGACTTCAGGAAACCTTTTGATATTCAAATACCAGAAAGGGCCAAAAGCCGGGAAAAAAGGGAAAAACAAAACGAATCAATCTGGTATACAGACGGTTCGAAAATGAAAAACAGCACAGGAGCTGGGATCTACCATGTGAACTCAGGGAGGACAATTAGTTTGAACCTGGGGTCACTGACAGTCTTCCAGGCTGAAGTAACAGCAATAAATGCCTGCGCCAAAGTCATGCTAAATGACTCTCTTAGAGATAAGAGAATCGTTATCATGACAGACAGTCAGGCAGCCCTTAAAGCACTAAAAAGGGTAGAAATACAATATAAATCAATATTTGATTGCCAACAATCCCTCCAGGCTCTGGCAGAACATAACAAGGTTACCCTTGAATGGGTGCCAGGACATGAGGGAGTGTTTGGAAACGAGAAAGCAGACCTCCTAGCAAGGAAGGGAGCGGAAAAAACTCTTATTGAACCAGAACCCACATGTGGCATCTCATACCAACATGTTAAATGGGTGTTAAAGGAACAAATAAAAAGAGAACACCATAGGCTCTGGATGGAACTTCCTGGACTTAGACAGTTCAAAAGATTCATAGAGGGGCCATCCACGAGCAGACAACATCAACTGCTAAACCTTAGCAGAAGCCAACTCAAGGCCGTAATAGGACTCCTTACGGGACACTGCGGCCTTAGAAGACACCTAAATCTCTTAGGAATATCTGATGACTCCCTATGCAGAATATGTGAAGAGGAGGACGAAACTCCTATTCACATACTATGCCACTGCCGGAACCTTAAATGGGAACGGGAATGGTACTTCGGGGTACAATATCCGGAACCTCAAGAAATCGCGAAAGCGCCCATCAGACATATTCTTGAATTCATCAAGAAAATCAATCTGATGGGATAGAAACTGTGAGGGGTACAATAAGCCTAGAGCTTCAGTACAAGTGGGCTTTGAACCACGCCCTAATTCAGATGATGAAAGCACCTTGACCACCTGCTTTCTAAATTTATAAGCTCAGGCATCTCTTGGCCCTCGTACACTTACGGTTTTTGAGCTGGCCCTTTGGAAATCTGAGTTGTGCAGGCCTGCATTAGAGTAAAGTGACCATATTTTGAAAAGTAGAAAGCGCGACAAATCGAAAACCGTCGATGAATTCTATTTGCAGTTAATGGTTTGGTTTCATTGAAGAGCAAAATAAAACGTCACCATAATCGAACAAAAGCGGGACAAAAGAGGACAGAATCATTTTTAATCACACAAAAGTGGGACAAAATTGTTTTAAATCGAATGAAAGCGGGACAAAATCGGGACAGATGTTAAATCGGGACTAGTGGTTTAAAATCTGGCCTGTTCCGCCTAAATCGGGACGGACGGTCACTTTACATTAGAGAATGTAGTCGAGATTGTCTTATTTTTTGCTGAAGAGTGTTAATAAGGACGAAACTAGTCCAAAAATGACTTTCTCCCTAGGAAGTAAAATCAAAGTTAGAGTGTTGACAATTATTTTCTATTTCTGCTATTCACTTCTTGATACAATACAATGCTTGTTGCGGTATTAACCAAGGAGTAGTTATTTTCAGGAGGGAAATGGACCCAGACTTTCAGTTTTTTCTTTTCATTTATTGTTTATTCTTACATCAGAGTCACATTTGCAGTGGCGGCTCGTAGGCACTAGCGGCAGTGGGGCACACACTGGAAAGGAATCCCGGGATTCGTTTTTCCCTTAGGAAAACAAGTTCTCCGCTTAATGAAAATTAAATATATTTCAAAACAAATTAAATATTACAAAATTGAAGACTAACTGCTAGGTACCGCTGCAGTTGTATACTATTTCTTATAGTTGAAGTTCATTCTTCTGAATTTTTGGCTAGCGAAGTGTTCGATGACCAGATTATTAAAATTTGGAATGGACCGAATAAGTTTTTTTTCGATGGATAACATGGCTAACGCGCACAATCTATCTTGGCACATAGTGTTCCTTAAAAATGTTTTAATATGTTGTTTTACTGTCGAAAAACATATTTCACTCTCCACTGTGGTCATGGGAATTGTACACAGGATAGTTAGCAGCTCCACAGATTCCGAAAATGTAATTGTCAAATTGTTCTCAAAAAACATTTGTAATAACGGTACGGCCCCATTGTGTTGCACAAAGTCATCTCGGGTATAAAGTATGGACAGTTCGTTTTTGAATTTTAAACTGATTACGTTTGGAAATAAACTACACACAGTTTTAACGTCCTCATTTGGAAAACAACCTCGGTAGTCTTTAAATTTTTCACTATCAAATAAACTTGCAATTGTTAGGTGGGTAGTAAAACTAAAACGTTCATTTACCTGCACTACTATTGTATCACAAATTTTCTTATATATCCTTAAATTAGGAATGGGGTCTTCCTTTTCAACAAACCGTCTCTTCTTGCTTGTACGCGCACCTTAAGCCGAAACCGGCATCGCCTTTGTGACGAGGCCGGGGTAAAGATGCCGCTGCGTACATTCGTATCTGGTCTAGGTAATCTGTGCCATGGGTACAGCACGTCACGCTGAGGACAGCGCCCCGCTTGTGACGTATATGTGTTCATCTCTTGCTAAGCGATATTGTCGTTGTCCTTGTTTTTCGCATCATAATAAGAGAGAAAACAACAGAGGCTCATATTTACTGTGCCCTGTGTCCATCTTCCACTTAATTTCGGAATTCTCGGAACGTCGTCGTCCAGTGTCGTGCCAACGCGGTTTGCGCTGAATATTAGATAAAATAATAATAATAGGCATTGAGGAAAATATAAAATATGTAAGTTATTTTTTTTTGTTTATTATACTAGGGCACATACCCAAGTGCCCTTACGGGCAAACCGCCACTGCACATTTGAGTCACATTTAAGAATTTGAATTATTTCCTTTTATATGTTTTTTGTTTAAATCATAAAAACTTGAACAAAATATGTAAGCATACTTAGAATAAAAAAAATAATTTGCTTTATCCAGTAGAGTGTATGTGGCGCCCTGTTTACAGTGTTGTCAGGTCTACTGATTTTTCCGTAGATCTACTGATTTGGCTATTGGTTTACTGATATACTGATATTAATGTGAATTCTACTGAAAAAAGCCGTTTTCATTTTTATTTTTATTATCCGATTTTGTGATTTTTTCAAATTATAATCATATTATAAATAAATAAAAAAAAATTCAAAATTAACAAAAAATCACAGCAATATACGCGTCTTGTGCACTCTTTGGACGAGCCCTGTCAGCTTTTTCGAACGCAATGTAGCCGGCAACGGGCAGCCAGCTGTTTTTTATAACTTTCCTGGGAATTTCCAGGTAATCCCCCTTGTCGTTGTGTGTTTTATTTCGAGTTATCGAGTTACATACCATGCAGTTTACGCTGTAGTATGGTATATAAAAATTAAAAATTGTGGTTTTCTGGATGGTGATTTACTGTACAGTTAACCAAAGAAATAAGCTTTCCACGACGAGTATTTTTGGCAATTTTCATGTAAACACTTACTTAATGAGTAGAAATGTTAATTGCCATACTGTAAAGTATTCAGATTTTCTAGGGCTTAATAATAATAGCATGTGCAAAAAAAATGATAATGAGTAGACTGATTCTGACTCCGATTCCAATTAGAATATATTTTTTTTAGTGTCTAAGTGTTTATTGATAAATTATTTTATGTTTTAATATGTAATATTTATTTTTTATTCTCAAAGATGTCCCATTTCTTAATAAACTGGTTGTTAATTTTTATAGTCTAACATTTTAATGAGTCATAAAAGTGTAAAATAAGTATGATTAAAATTAATTAGAAGAGAAGCCACTGCAACGTTAATTTTTTCGCGAAAATATTGCAAAAAAACTGAAACAACTAAATTGTAACTTTTAATAGTAGTAGATACCATTTGACCCAGTGTCATTTATCAACACAATAATATTTTGAGGTATTGAACCTCTAATTAAAATATTTACCATTCCTCATAAAACACCCTTTATATGATCATCCCAATAATCAATCCTTAAGATCAGCATCAACAATCTATTCATGCTGAAATATCAATTTTACCCAATATAAATATTTTGTTGTTTTCTAGATCACCACCCAGTTCATCATGACCCCAACTTTGGCCATCACGGTCCCAACTATGGCCATCACGGTCCCAACTTTGATCGGCACGGTCCCAACTTTGATCAGCACGATACCAGCTTTAACCATCATCCAGAATGGCATAAAGATCATCCCCAATTTGATCATAACCATCACAACTGCAATCACGACCACAGTTACGGTCAATTGCCCTGGAATCACAACTTTTCCAATGGAGAAAACACCTCAAAGTACCCAATGACGACGAACACCTTGTCTGCGGGTGGTAAAACCAACAACGAAGGCTTTGGAGATGTCAAACCAGTGTCGGAACCAAATTCGGATATTGACGAAACTATGGGAGGAATATTTACGAGTTCGGTTACAATGTCAACGAAGTATCCTGATATTGATATTAGAGCGGGTGTGTAGAAGTACCGCTTTTTTTTTCAAGTTGAAAACTAATTTATAATTTAGACGTAAATAAAGATTTTATACCTGTAAAACAGTTTTTTCTAGACCTACATGTCTATTTTTTATTCTATGCACATATCCCTGACTGAATAAGTAGGCAATACTAGGCTACCCAACGGATATAATGTCATAACCATTCTGGTAAGGACATCGTATGGATATGAAATCCACTAATCACAGTTTATATTTAATGACCAGTATAGTACTTTTTTTTAATTTTAAATAAGTAACAATTCTGTCAAATTAATTCCCAGTTTATTTTTTAGTTTTTGAGATTAATTAAAAAAATATGAGTGACTCGTGAAGAATCTATAAATAATAACAATTCACTAGATCAGTGGTCGCCAACCTCTCAATGTGTTGAGCTACTTTGTTAATTTTGGAATAAACAGCGAGCTACCCACACGGAAGCCACGTAACGCAACGTAAATGAAATAATCCACAGTTAATTTATCATTATATGTATTTATTTTACTATTTAACTGGTAATACATAATACATAGGTACTAATAATAAACTAATAACAAAATAACTAATATTACTAGTACGTACTTGTTCATAGCTACATTCCTACCTACCGAACGAAGGTGTTTGAAAAATAAACACAAACTTTTATCCAGCCACAACGGCATGTCACGTAAAATTTAAAAATAGTTAATAATAACAACAAAAAAGTAACGCACTATACTGAACATAAACATTGAAAAATAAAAAAGTACGTTCAATGAGAAGGCTGACACTCAGACTCATCGATAATTTTTTTAATATTTGCAGTATAATTTGATACAGCCATTCGAATACAATTATCCAAATGTTCATCTGTAAGTCGATTGCGATATTTGTTCTTAATAAACATATTGGAAAAAGAAAATTCACACAAATAGGTTGAACTGAATAATGCTTTCACTTTCAAGGCAACACGGCATAGAACTGAATATTTGTCTTTACTTACAATAGGCCAGATACATTTGGTACTTGAGACTAATGATTTTAAGGCTAAATCATTTTGAAACTCAATTACTTCCATTTCTGTTGCAGCGATGTCTTCGCCAAAGTTCTGCATAACACAAGTTGCAAACTGTTGGATATCAATTTCCATAAAGGGTGAAACAACAAACTGCGCTACTAAAGCCATTTCGTTGAAATCCTTAAAACGATTTTTGAAGTTATTCTTCAGGGTAGAAACTATTTCTACATGATATTTGCTGTCATAAGGTTCTAATGGATTTTGAGATATTTTTTCTGAAAGAATAGGAAAATGTTTGGCATCGCTGTTAATTAGGTTTTGTTCCCAAAACTCCAGCTTTTTGATAAATGCTTTTATATCAGAAATCATTTCCGCTAGTTCTTTGTCTCTCCCCTGAAGCTGCAAAATAAGTTCGTTTAATTTCTCTGTAATGTCCACGAGAAAACCAAAATCTCTAAGCCAGATAGGACATCATTAAAACGTTACAGCACCCATCCTCTACTTAACCATCGGACTTCAGAGTGAAGGAGTAGGTCCCTGTATTGACAGTCAACTTCATCGGCCAAGGTTTTGAATAATCTTCTTTGTAACGCTTGAGCTCTAATCTTGTTCACAATTTTTACCACCAGTTCCATAACGTTGTTTAGTTTCAGGAAATTTCCACATAATGCTTGCTGATGGATAATGCAGTGGTAACAGAGAAATTGCGGAAAAGTTTCATCTTTACGACATAACGCCACCAGACCCTTATCACAACCCACCATAGCTGGAGCGCCATCGGTTGTCAAGCCTACCATTTTCGATATTGGAATTTTCTCGGAAGAAATAATATTTTTTAAATGAGAAAACAACTCCTGTTCAGTAGTGTGTCCTTTCAGTGGAATAAACTTCAAAAGATCTTCTTTAATCGTAAAATCACTAAAAACCATCCTGATGAACACGGCCATCTGGGCAGTGTCAACGACATCTGTTGATTCATCCAGTTGAAGTGAAAAATAAACACAGTTATCTAAGTCAGTTCTTAACTGTAAAAAAATATCATTGCTCATTACTTCATCACTGTATTAGCAGAAAGTTGCATAGATTTTATAGATGGAACTATCTCGTCTTTATTTCTAAAGTTGGCAAATAACGAATCAGCAACTTCTAAAAACGCCTGTTTTATCATTTTCCCGTCTTCATAAGGTTTCTTTTTTTGTACAATTATCTGGGACACACGGTACGGTGCTTCAGTTGCAGCCTTATTTTTGTCGACTGTTCTTAAAAATATTGATTGTTGTCCAATTAACTGCTTTTTTAACTGTTTCAGTTTCTCCTTTCTGGCGGCAGAATGTAGTGGGAATGATTTTTCAAAATTAGAATGTACAGTTTTATGATGTATCTCAATATTTCCTTTTTTAGCAACGGAGACCGAAGTATTACATAACAAACACACATTTTTATCTTTAACTTCTGTAAAAAAGTATTGTTCTTCCCATTCCGAATGAAAGTGGTATGTCTTTACCTTCTTACAACTGCTTGCCATAATATTATTTTTTGTTGTTCTCTACTAACCCAACCGCTGAACGTTGGTTACGCGTTCAATTTTAAATTAAGCGCAATGTCGCCGCGCCGTGCGTATTTATCCCGTTCAAAGCAATCCTGATCGTTCTCGAACACTAACGCGCTGGTCCGGCTGGTCGGTTCTAGCCGATTCTAGCTTGATGGCGTCAGCGGCAGATCGCTCACCGCAACGTTGCCGCTGTTTATGTTAAATATCATGACAATTAGATTTTTTTGAGGAATTTTCGGAAGCTTCTCTGATTTTTGCAGTTTGTATTTTTTAAATTAAAATCGTTGTGAGAGCTACCAGAATTGCCTCCGCGAGCTACCGGTAGCTCGCGATCGACAGGTTGGCGACCACTGCACTAGATATTCGTTTGTATTTAAAAAGAAACTAAATTTTTATGAAACCAATGGAATAATTTGAGAGACGCTAAAATGGTGAAAAAATTTTCGTACGAATTCTTATCCTCTGTAACTGTAACCTTAGTCAACCTGATTTAGTTATAACCATTAACGTAGTAATTAGCATACAATTAAATTCCATATATTTCAATGTATCTGTTTACACAGAATAACTTAGCATAAACATTAACATAAACATATGGATGACAAATAAAATTCATTTTTATGTTTATGTCAAAAATACTATGCACGTGCATTTAATGAGTGAAATTAAGCTATCCGCGATTTAAGATAAGCGATATGCCCTCTAGATAATTGGAAGAAAGGATTACAAGAAGAAATTATTTTTGAAACTTTAGCTGAACAAAATATACCTAATTGTAGTAGAGCAATTTCAGGAGCAGCTATATGTCCTATTCCCATTCTTAATGATTTTGTCAAATCTTATGCTTATAATTAATAGGAAACTGGACCTCTCGCGAAAGCCAAAATGTTTTAAGGATTTTCTAATATAAAATTGTATTTAGATGCGTGCCATTGGGAATACTTCGTGATATTATGTGTCTTGACAATATTGAGAGCTTTAAATTTGTTCAACGAAAAGGTAGCACTCTACAGAGACGTTTAAGAAAAAAAAAGGTGGGAAAGCATTCTATTTAAAAACTACTAGAAATTTATTAAAACAAAAAAGTAGTAAATTTTTATAGATTTAATACAGAATGGCCCGCAAATGTATGTTTCAAATTTTTTTTAAATAAATACTTTGCGAAGGTTTACAAAAAATTCAAGGTTTCTCCACATTAAGTTTTGTTATTATTGGTATTTCCTGAAAATTTCACAAAAATCAGACTAAAAATAAAGGCTCAGAATGAATTATAAATTTTCATGGTGTCCGGTTTGCTCTTAAATTGTCTGTAAACAGTTTGTTTTTCAGGTATGTAAAGTTAGCACAACGATCTTAGCACAATCAATCAAAACCTTATCTATAATTATATGCAATTTTTGTGCGCTATTCACGATTTTTGTGTATTTATAGTTTTTTGTAATTAAATATTTTAGCACAACTTTTTGTTATTTATCAAGTAAATTTATTTTTGATTCCGTATATAATTTGCAAAAAAACGCACAAAATTATGGTGTTATTAAAATTAAAATTACTTGATAAATAATAAAAAGTTGTGCTACCTAACTTAACGTTAAGCTAACACAATATTTAATTACAAAAAACTATAAATGCACAAAAATCGTGAATAGCGCACAAAAATTGCACATAATTCGCACATAATTATAGATAATTATCTATCAGAACCTTAAGGTTCTGATTGATTATGCTAAGATCGTTGTGCTAACTTTATATACCTTTGAATTTCTCTAAAATAAAAAAAGGTCCTTAACTAAGAACTTCCCCCCTCTTCTGTCTTACTTCTGAAAGTAACAAACATCACCTCTGGCCGGCCCCCCCTTATACCGCTGCCGGGCCCCCATTTGAGCCCGGGCCCCGGGAATTAGTCATGGCTGCCCCCCCTCTAGTCGATTCTGCTTATGTTTATGTTGTTTATTAGTAAATCTGGCTGATTAAACGTGTATTTACAATGGTTTCTTTAAAAGTATTCAAAGGTTTCTACTTTTTGCATCCCCTGTCGTATTTATTAATTCCTAACAACTTTTAAATAAAAATTGTTACTCTATGGATGATTTTATAATATTCGATATTTATTTATGCTTAGTTGTAAAAAAACTAATTGAGAAAAAATGGTCATTATGGTTTTGGTTTTTGCCACTTTCGATTCAAAGTCAAATATTGAAAATTTTATTAATTTTGCTTAGTAATATGTTTTGTTAAAGATGTCTTAGACCCTGGGTTCACAGACCCGTGCCAGATTTTAAGTCAAGCGATAATTAACAAATTATGATAATTTAGACAAAACAATCCTTTTACGCATTTTTTGTTTTTAGGTACCAAAAATATTTGATTTTTTGCATTGTATAACAAACTAGGAAATAACGTCAATGTATTTGGTGTTGACGCCACAAATGATAAACA